CAAACGGCATAACCGTGAATTCGTATAGGCCAAACGGGGTTATCACTGCTGTTTTAGGGACATCCTCTGCCGCGACGGGTATTTGATGATACGCCCTTGTCAGGTCGATAACGCTAAATACGGAACATCCGTCGAATCTATGAGCTATATCGTGAATATGCGGCAAAGGGTACTTGTCCGGCACGGTCACACCATTTAATCTGCGGTAATCCCCACATGGTCTCCATCCACCCGATTTCTTGGGCACCATGTGGAGAGGGCTGGCCCATTGGCTATCGGACGGGCGGCAAATGTTCTCTTTGAGCATCTGCTCAAATTCCGCCCGTGCGATTTTTAACTTTTCTGGAGGCAGACGCCGCGCTTTTTCCGCGATAGGCAAAGCTTTGGTTTCAATTCTGTGGAAGACCGCGTGTTTCACGTTTCCCTTGGCAGCTGGGTTTGTGATTTCTATAAACTGTTTTAGTAATTTTTTGAAAACGTTGGCCTCGTCGATTGTCGATATAGATAGTTTGTTTCCGTCTGTAGCTGTGACGTTTCTGTACAGTTGTGTCTGTCCGTCTAGTAATCGCTTTTTACGTAGGTCTACTAATAAGTTAAAAAAATGAAGGAAATCTGCCCCTATTATGGGCTTCGAAACGTCTGCTATTATGAACCGCTAAGAGAAATCGCGACGAAGACCTAAATTTAATGATAGTACCTTGTCTCCGTATGTGTCTATTACGGCCCCATTTGCCGCATACAATTTGAGGGCGTCCGCCTTCAGGTCTCTACCTGCTAGATTTTTCGGAATCACCGAGACGTCTGCACCCGTGTCAATCAGGAACTCCATCCTCGTCTTACAGTCCCGAATGCTGAGGCGATTCCGTTTCGGCGTGTCCGCAAGGGTCTCTACTTGCGACGCCGCCTCTAGTTTTCCAGACGCCTCTTGTTCGGGCCCGTTCAGGAGCAGGGTGGCCGGCAGCGATAACATTGCTCCCTGAACCTATGGTGGTAAAAACAGAGACCGTCTGTATTAGCGGGGTTTCCCCTTGATCCGCTTCTTTGCCGGAACTTGGATCGGCTGCTGCTGCGCCGTCTCGATAGCCGCGTCTCCAGCCTCGATAACCTCTTCATGATGGCGGCCACGTCGCCATCTTGGTTCCTTGGCGTCGATTTCGGAAGGGGTTCCATCATGGCGGACCGCTTGGCGTGGGAAGCGTCCGAAATTGGCGCCATTTCTGCTATCTCGGTCCTCTCCGCCGTCTTGTCTGCTAACTTGGCTAACTTTTCCAGGTCCGCGTCGTCGACAATCGTGAGGATTTCCTGTAGCCGGATGGGAAGCCTCTGAATCCAGAGCGTCCGCAATGCACTTTCGCCCACGTTTTTCCCCGCTAGCTGCGTCATTTCTCGCAACAGCTCCGAGGGTTTCCGATTACCCAACTCTATTCCTGTGAGCAGTCGTCTTAGATTGGCTTCATCCGACCGAGAGAGCCTTTCTATGAGTGCCTGTTTAATGTCCTTATACGTCGATTTCTCGGGAGGCGCCTCGATGATGTCCAGGACAATTCTCATTGTCCCCTGGTCTAGGTTTCTAATTACGGCTGAGCTCTTTACCGCATCCGCCTTTATATTATAAGCGGCGAATTCTCGCTCCAACATAGTGAACCACAAACGCGGCTCTTCTTTCCAAAACGTCATTTGTACTTCGGGCTTGGGCTCGGAAGTGACGCGTTCGTCTTCGGATGCCATTTTTCGTATTTTTTTTAAATATTTTTTAACACCACTTCAATATTTCACTGTCGCGCGGGTTTCGGCACCAGTTGTGGCGTACTTGCTCAGTGGGAGAGAATAAATTAGACTGTTTTTACAATTATCCGGAGACTTTTTATTCGACACCTCTATACACGACGCGTGTTCGTTTTATTCTCTTGTTTTTTCCCGACTTTCGAAAAGGTTGGGGGCGCACCGTTTTTTACCAAGCTTACCAACTACTACAGTACTGATTCGTAATAAGCAACTCGCTCGGGTCTGGCGAGTTGCTTGTTACGAATCAGGTATATTTTCGGCTTGCCTTTGTTCCCGAGCGCGAGGACGGTGACGGCGTAGAAAAAACAGGGGGTTGGGTGTAGCGGTATACTATAAAGTAATCGGTCGCGCGGCGATGTTATTCTTTAGACAAGGACAGAACATAGCATGCTTTCCCTTTTTAATAGTAGTAAAATTTCATGAATGGAAAAATATACCGGATTCGTAACAAGCAACTGCCCAAACCCAAGCCAGTGGCTTATTACGAGTGGCTTATTTCGAATCGATGTAGAATCAGATGAATCGAATACGTTGCAATTCCTAATTTGTCACACTTTGCCTTATCTTTTTACAATTATGTGAATATAAACATATACCTACATAGCAGTTTAAGAAATATTGATGTCAAAAAATAGTAGGTCATCGCCATTACTGCGACAATAAAGCAATTCGGAAAAAATTATGGTTGAACGAGCAGCTAGTTTTATGACCATTTCATTGTACATAGTTCATATAGTATTATATATTGTATATAGTGTATTATACTTACATAATTTTTCCTTCAACTTTTTTTTATTTTTGTTAAAAAAATTAATTAAAATTATAGATAAAAATGTACCTCAAATTATTGTTCACTGTCAACCATTAGATTTAAAAAAAAATGTCATATTACGACAGAATCGCTATGTATCAGAATGAGAAAACAATATAATGTACCGGATTCGTAACAAGCAACTGGCCAGATCCGAGCGAGTGGCTTATTACGAATCAATGTAGAATTAAATGAATGAACGACAGAATCGCTATGCATCAGAGTGAGAAAACAATATATATGTTCTGTCCTCTTTCCACTAAACTGTTCGGTCGACCGTGAAAATTTATGACTTCTTCGGTTTCGCGGACCTCTCACTCTTTCTCGGATCTCTCACTCAGCGGCCGACTTCAAACAAAGAAGAGGGGATAGAAATTTGCTTGTTACGAATCACAAACATTCTGAATGTCTGTAGAGATTAATTTATTAGGGACCGTATCGAATTCGTTGTTTTTGACTAAGTCGCGTTCGGTTCTGGAAAGCTTCGAGATCTCCTACGAATGTCTTTTCATGCACTCGAAGAGGGTCGTAAATTTTCGCCCAGTACAAGGACTTTGTTTTCGCGTTTCTCTGGGTCCCACGCTTTCTCTAAGCACATGTTCAATGTTACGTTCCCGCGTCTTGGCGGAGCCTCCACCACCACGCGGCTGAGGGTGGACCACAGCCAGGAGAAGGGGCCCACATCGGACAGGGGTGGACTCCTCCACCATTGGACAAGGGATGATCCTGAGGGAGGATCCAGGATCCAGCGAGGAAGGGGCATCGATCCGCATCACCCGAAGATCTCCTCCGCCAAGCGCAGAACGATCAGACTAATTTTGTATTTCATACGCTCCAGTT